CGGCGGGGAAAACACTCCTCTTTTCTTCTCCTGAGAAAACCCCGCAGCTCATTCACACACTCTAGGCCGCCCCTATTGACAGGCACTCACGCTGAGTAATCCTGCCTATATACTACGCCATAGAAATGTGTAGCATGAGGAAAATGATCATTATAAAGGTATGATTCGATCCATTTGTACTAATATATTTGTTTTTTGGGGGATGCTGGGATTATCACTAATAGATAAAAATTAGCTGCTAATACTTTTTTTATTGACAAAAAAATTTGTTTGGGACTCATTTCAGCGGCAGATTTAATCCACATATGTTACTCAAGTGTGTATTTTGATGGCAGAAGGGCATTAGTATATGGGATTGGGTTACACAATTAAAGGTGGGTATGTAAGTTTGAGAAACCCGGGCTCGAGTCCTTTTTTGTTATATTCCATGGAATGCTCTTTAACATCACGATAGCAATGAAATCTGAAGTGCTTTGACCAAAAAATCCATAAAAAAATGTCATCTGTGGGAAGCCGTAGCGCTGTAAAGAAGCACGACCAATCAATCTGAGCCGGCCGGCTAAAATTAACTGGATGGCCTACTGCTGTCAGCCTTCCATCTGTCACAAACTTATCTAGCTGCCCTCATTGGTCCATGTGGCGCGTTCGTGTGTCGTTGGAGGAGGGGCCTCTGTTGAGGAAGTGGCAGATTTTCTCCGCTGTGTATTTTTCAAATTCTAAGTGCACTCGAGCTGTTTCTCCAAAATTACCCCCTTACCCCACCTTTAAAATATAATGATACTACTCACCAAGGATTATAATTAGCATTAAATATTTTCTATGGTGTGATTACGGTAAAGAGGGAAATGTCCCCAGAGTGTCAAAGTGTTTTTAGGTCATTTTCAGCGACAACTTTGGAGCTTTTATACACACACCGTACTTTTCTAAAGACACTTAATGATTCAAGGTTTGTTTGTTATTTGATCTGATGAACCCAGACTTTCAATTTATTAACTTTCATTTCAATCCTTCAAGTGAACCTTGAAGACCTCAAAAAGACTGATACATCTGTAATCAAGCCTTGTTAAAGAACCATGCGTGGATAACCATGAAAAAAAGCTCCTCCATTCCTCCTCCCCCCCACCCCACACACACAGACATATTGAAGCATAAGCTTCGCAACCAGAGCATCTCAGGCGTTTACAACACAACGGAAGCCTTTTCCGAAAGAATACATCCACCAAAGATGGCACAATTGCGGGGTGGGATTATAGAAGATTCTACACTTTGAAATGAGGGCAGATTTGTGCAACCAGAGGGCAGCGAGTGGGATGAGTTTTTTCGTCTATATGAAAGCCTTGTTGTGGGGTTTGGGGTGGATGTTGGCCATCTTTTCCTGTATCTGTCGCTCAAAACAGGCCTGCAAACATCAGAGGAGCAAGAGCTAATCCCATCCATTAAAAGCTTAGAGCCCCGAGGTGACTGAATTCCTGCCCCCCCCCCGAGTATGGGTGGCCGAGCGAGAAGAATTGAAGGAAGACAGAAAAGAGGAGAAAGGAAAGAGTAGAAAGACAGCACCAGAGAAAAAGGTAAGGAGAAACAGAAACAGAAGAAGAAGAGAACGAAGATCAGCTAGGTGTGCCCACAGAATCGCTAAATCCTCATCCAGATGTGTTTAGAAACGCCTTCAAACGCCTCTCCTCTTTCTGTCTCTTCTATCTTTTTCTTTTTTTGAACAAAGAAGACAGATTCAGAAGTAGAAAGAGCTTGGTTTTTACTGGAAGTCCTCTGTAAGCAAGTTGCAGTGACAAATAAAGTGTGATTGGAGGTGGGAGAAGAAAAAGGGAAAGTGACAGGCAGCTTCGAAATCTGTGTTGAAAATGGGAACTATGAAAATAAGCCCAACGTTGTAAGACCCAAGAAACGATGCTCTTATAAGACGTAGATGATGGTAAAGATGTTAAAGCGAGGAGGCTCAACGTGTTGCCTTAAGCCTAGCAGCTAATGCTATTTCCAAGGCACAATTGTAATTAGCATAAGCTGCTAGCCTCCGTCCTGATACAAGAAGTGAATGGTGCAGAAAGAACAAGAACAACAAAATATGATGTTTTATGTAAAAGTAGGCAAAACTATATTAAGTTCATCCTTAAGTAATATCGTTAAAATTAATAAATAGTGTTTATTTGTTTCAAGGTTGCAAATTGTAAGACTTTATATTCACTTATAAAATGTACATGAAACCCCAGAAAGATCATGGACCATGCATTGCCAATCCAGAAACTTTCTAAAATAAAAGAGTACCCACCAAAGAAAAAACTTTTTTTGATCAAACACCCGATGTCAATGTGTGTGTGGGCAGTTATGTGTGTGTGTGTGTGCGGTGTGTGTGTGTGTGTGTGTGTGTGTGTGTGTGTGTGTGTGTGTGTGTGTGTAATATTCACCATTGCGACCTCCACGGCGTCGCTGTTGGAGTAGGACAGGTCACAGAGGATGAGCAGCGCCCGCTCCTCCGCCAGCGTCTGAGTGACCGGGAGGTACCTCAGCTCCGAGCAGATGTTCTCTACAGTGGTGCCCTCACACACACACACACACACACACACACACACACACACACACACACACACACACACACACACACACACACACACACACACACACACACACACACACATACCAGATTAGTATCTGCGCTGCTGGCGAGGAACAATCAGCTTCTAATTCTTCCTAAGTCTGTTTCAGATGCAGGCGTTTATAATATCCTCCCCGGGGAGACTGTGGCTCAGATCTCAGATCAGTATCTCTTCAGAGGAACCGATTCATTTCCATTCATAAAACTTCATTCAGACCTGCAGGGAGGCCATTGAACGTTTGGTGATAGAGTAGTAAACAACAAAAACACCATGTTGACTAACAAGAGAGAGGATCCATTAACGGAAGAGCACATCTGCCACTTTAACTGGAAGTCTTTCTCTCGCTGCAGTTAAAGTCTATTCCCTCCATAAATTGGCCGGTATAGAAAGCACATTTTTGTATTCTCCAACAACAAAGGAGATCCAGGATCCAAATCTGATAAAAAATCTGCAGCTTCACAGATTTTCTTCCCTTAATGATTTGTTTTCTCAGCCTCCAAACATAAATATCTTCATGGAGGAGTTACACGCTGCGTGGTAGGGTTTGATGATGTGTGGATTTATAAAATGAGACAATCTGTCAACGGAGTCAAAAATAGGCTCTCATCTGAATGCAGTGAGGAATGACACGTGTGTGTTTGCGGTTGCAGATTCAAACAAGAACATATCTCAACACATTTCTACCAATCCAGCAATTATCAAATGTTAACAATGCAGGGTGGGAGGAGAATGATTTCAAATATCTTGTTATGACATGACACATCAACATGGATGAAAAATGACTTGATTGGATTGTAGGCGCGTTGGTGGTTTCGCAACTGTCTCTGCAGACTTTTCTCTCATTGAGAACTCGCCCAAGTATTTCCATGCACAAAGCGCTATGTCTTTAATGTTATATGGCAGATGTGGCTTTGAGAGGTCGTATTCCAATCAGAAGGTCAGTGGTTCGATTCCCAGCATACTGTACTGTACTGTAATTAACCCTAAACTGCGTCATGGCAACCAGTGTGTGAATGAGTATAAATGTTAGCCCCCCTGAGCACACAGTGTGTGAATGACATGTAAATGCTAATAAATGCATTTTGCCATTATTGATGACCGAGCATACTTAATTAATTTGATACATTTTTTTGGGGTATAAAATGTAAAAGTTGCATGGACTAATGCTCCTCACGATTCACTTGTTAAGTCTGACCCGTAGTCCAAAACCGATCTTACAAGATATTACAATTATAACTTTACTTCTGTATCCAACAAACAGACAGCTCCTTACCTGCGGCACTTTGTCCTTCTTGAAGATGAGGGTGATGCGAGCGCAGCTGTTGTCAAGGTAACCGCTGTTGGGCTCGCACTCTGTGTGTAGGGGTGTCGGGGGGTCGGGCGTAGAACACACACCCCACTGGTGGCAGGGCGGCGAGAAGCAGGTGAGGAACTGATGCTCCACACACTCGTGACCGCCGGGGCAGGGCGGGGGGGTTGAGTCCGCAGGAGGGGGAGGAGGAGCCTTCGGGAGGAGGCAGGGCCGACGGCCACATCGCACCTGGGGGAGCACGGTCAGTCAGACACAGCTTTCACCGGGTTTAAACATCTTTTATAAGTCGATTCGGTACGTCTGTGGGAAGCACTTATGATGAGGTTATCGTCAATGGTCAAAGATAGCTGCTGTTTGGTTCAAAGTTAAAGTGGTGAATGTAGATGCTGCATTGAAATGTAAAACACTGAAAAGCCAAGGAAATCCAAGTTTAAGTGAGAGCCTGCTTCCTGCCACTCATCAGCCTGACAGGACATCTATCCCCTATTGCTTTTAATGTAACTATATATTAACGCCGATCATCGATTTCCAATGACATTGCTTAATTGTTTGCCTGACTGAGCATCATACTTGTGCTCCATGTAGATAAATCATCTTTTGATAGGATTGGTGAATAGCGGAAAGTCCCATGATGGGTTGTTTTCAATCTATGGGTGTATTGCTAGTTTTTATAACCACACTCAAAAGGTTTATTACAACATTATCACTTTGGTAATAAACAGTCTTTGCTGTGAGCCTTACCTTGGAGCAGTGCACGTTTCCGTTGACACACTGGCAGGCGTTACACTCCTCATCCCAGCGGCTGCCGTGAGGAAACTGCAGACCGGCATGACGACACGACTTCCCGAGTCCGATGACTGGAGAGAACAGAGGAGAGTTTCAGAACAAAAGGAAGAGACTCGGTTGCCAATCCTCTTGTTTATGTACCCAAGGTACTCCAGGAAATCTACCAAACAGTATAAATGGGTGATTGAGACTCATGGTACTCACACTTCTGACAGCGAGGTCCAGCGTATCCTGGAGGACAGACACAGCGGTATCCGTTGATTTCATCCATGCAGGTTGAACCTTCGGCACAAGGAGACGACTGACACTCATCGATGTCTGTAGAAAAAGAACATACATTTAAAAATTCAGTAGAAAAGAGAATTATGAGACCTTAACGTCAATATACTAGAAGCAAAGTGTCCAGTTGAATCCCTTGATTTACTATTGATGTCCAGAATACAGAGTAATCATGAGGAAGAAACTCAAGACTGATCCATAGACAGAGCGAAAAAGATGGGTTAGAGTTCTTAGTCCCTATATATCCTATCTTTTACAATTCACACAGGTCTTAATGCATTGATCTCCTTCAAGTATTTCTCTTTAGCCGAGAAAAATCTGAGCTTTGAGAGATTTGAATGTGATATTCAAATATCTTCAATGAGTGATGGAACTCAGAGGATCTTTCTTCACACAATGGCTTTATTGCAGTTTGGTTTGAAATGCATCAATTGGATGACACTCTGGCTCTGAAAAGGCCTTTCTGAAGAGATTTCTCCCAGAAGGCCGCGGGAGAGCGCACTGACCCGTCTGACGGACCTCAGCTCTGACCCGGGCTCAGCGCAGAGGGGAGAGGTTAAGACCGTCTTCCTAAAAGGCTTCCTAATCTGCCGCCCTGAAACAATCGGCTCACGCTCCCCCGCCGCGGCCTTTCACCTCTGACCCCCCGCCCACCTGACCCCTGCACACGCCCCCTCCGGTTCCCAGGGACTCACTGATGCGGCAGTCCGGTCCGGCGAATCCCGGGGCGCACTCGCATCGAAACCAGTTCACACCGTCCACGCAGAGGCCGCCGTTGTAGCTGCAGAAAGAAACAAAAGAAACATGAATTCACCGCTGCTGCAAAACCTGAGGTTCACAGTGAGCTCAAACAGTAAAGCTCCTTCTACGTTTCTTATAATGTCTTCCCTGGGGGCAAAGCCTTCTCATGCTCCATGCTAAACTTTGAATCAAGTCCATCAGTTGACGTCCTTTCTAGGGAGACACTGATTGTGGTGTTGACGTCTGCCTGGAATTCACTTCAAATAAAAAGATAACTCACTGCTGACTGATATTTGACATTGAGTGGATTTTATTTTTTACCAAAAGTCCTGCGGACACATTGTGAACACTTAAATGTAACTATGTCTCATCCTGCCCTCTGAGCTGAGTGATATAAAGTCAAAAGTTTACGTTGCCTCATTTCTAATAATCCCTTAAAAGGAGTTTACAAGGAATCGCAAATGTGTCAAAAGTTCCATATGAAGACCAATGTTAAGAATTCACCAAAATAATATCCCTTGGCTTTATAACTATGATCTAATAAAAGAGGTTACTTATCATTTGTGCCAGCTCTTGACCCATTTCCCTATGATAACTTCAGCTTTAAATCCTTAAAAACAAACTTATACAAAAATAACCAGTTTGTAGGAAAAAGAATGTAAAAAGAATAAATGTAGATTTATTTTTCAGTTAAATCTCAAAATACTAACTTTTGGTTCTCAACATTTTTTAACGTGAGGCCCTAATCCTCTTCCGTAGGAAAGTGAATAAACTGGATATTCATTTTCTTTGGTGAACATCTCCACACTGACCCAGAATGTACTACATTAACATCTACACCACTGCACGCGGCTGTAAAGCCATACTAAGCCTCTGAGGTCAGAAACAGGTGGAGTTAGTCTCACGTTCTTCCCCCTGAGCTACAACATCTACCAGACTTTTCTCCTGCAGAGACTCTGAGTGTCAGCAGCCTGAAGCTGATCCCTGATCAATGTCCAGACTTCATATGTAAATCCCTGCTGACCACATACTGAGACCCCCCCCCCCCCNCCAAACACCTCCACTCCTCACAGCTACCCCCAGGTCGAAGCCGGTGAATAGTGAGAGGGGCTCCTCTTCACACTCACTCTACCCCCTCCTTTAAGAACCAAAACCTTCACTAATCCACCTGTCAGTCATTGGAGAGGGGGGGGTGAGGAGGAGAGAAATGGGGGAGGAAAGGGGTGGCTTTTGTCCTGGGTAGCCTCTCTGATCCAGACAAGCAGTCAGCGGTTCTCCACTTGGTGATTTTTATCTCGCGAATACAAATAGAAATGACAAGTTCTTAAAATTCAAGTTGATGCATTCCCAAAACCCTCAAGAATATGAAAAGAAGTGTCATTTGAAATTGACATTGCCCAAATTTGGAAAGCAAAGATTTGAGACTTTTTTTCACATTTTAATCGTCAAAGGGAAAATTGGGAACGTATAATCAGAATGTTAGTAGTAAGTATATGTACTTACTCACATGCTCTCTATTATCTTTCCAAAACAAGACAGTAAATCTCTTGATGTTGGAGTTTAGCCAGACCCAAGCCAGGCGATGTTCTTACATTCATTTACATTAGACAGGAGTTGAGGTGAGGATAAAGCTGCCGCACGCAGCATTGATAAATAGTCACTACCCCTGGGGGCTGTAGTCTAGGCTTCAGATGAATCCATTCCCAGGATCAACTGAGGTCAAGTTTAACTGACATTTAGATAACAGTGGAAACTAAATCCTAATCAATACCAAAACAGGTAATAAGTAGTTTGACATCATCATTTCCACACGGCATCTATTGCACGTCTGTCCGTCCTGGGAGAGGGATCCCTCCTCTGTTGCTCTCCCTGAGGTTTCTCCCATGTTCCCTTTAAACTGTGGGGGTTTCTTTGGGAGTGTTTCCTTGTATGATGTGAGGGTCTTAGGACAGAGGGCGTCGTATTGTCATACTGATATTCTGTACAAACTGTGAAGTCCACTGAGACAAACGTAACAATTGTGATATTGGGCTATATAAATAAACATTGATTGATCATTAAAAGGTTGTTAAAGGGCAAACTCTTTTTTTTTTTAACCATGCAAGAAAACTCCAGCTAAAAGCCTTCAATGAATGTCTTTCAGACGTCTACATTTCATGATAATCTGCAACCAATAATAGGTGAAAATATTGCATTTCTGCTCTAAAATCAAGTAAAACAATGAAAAAAAATAGTCTTACCATGGATGCGGATTGCAGTCGTCGACATCTGCAAAAGAAAGAAGAGAGACCGAATGACAATCAGTTACTTTAACATTTCAATCCCAGCCAAAACCGGCTTGGATCATTTCCTCGAAATCAGACAATAAATCTGTTTTAATTGCTTTAAAGTTGAAGGTGCATGTGAGGTTATAAAAACAGCAGCGTGAGCACATGGAGGAATATTCTCAGGTATTTCTGCTGCAATGAGAAGTTAAACAAACATGTTAGTGTCAGCATCCAATTCATAATAATGACAGGGAAACGTTGTGAATGATCTAATTTGGCACAAAATGATATGCGGATGAACTTGTCAGTTCACGCTCTCAAGGATAGAATATAAATATTCATCCACGGACTCGAATTTGGACTTTCTCATGTTTCATATTTGTATTTTGTGCTCTTTATTTTCTCATTCTGCCATAAAGGGCCTCTTTCAAAAAGGGACATACTCTGTGCACAGGTGGCTCCCTCCCAGCCGTCCTTGCAGATGCAGGTGAAGGCGTCTCCTCCTCCTCCGACACATGTCCCTCCGTTCTCACATGGACGGGAGTCACACGTGCTGTTCTTGGCTAAAAAACAAAAACATTGAAATCCTGTTTATGAATTTGTTTTTCATTCTGACCACCCCACAATGGGAGCGCTGCTCTTTTGGCCTGCGTTCACTTAGTCTCACAGATTGTAACTCTGCGGGACCATATATTATTATTATTACTCTACCATTAGCAAAGCCATAACATAATAATGAGAGTGAGATAAGAACACTGAATGCCTACCTGTATTGCAGGTGCTGCCGCCCCAGCCTGAGGGACAGCTACACAGAAAAGAGTCTCCGTTGTCGTAACACGTCCCTCCATTACTGCAGGTGGTGGAGTCGCACTGGCTCTCACCTAAAGAAAACGATGGGTATAAATGTTACACTTTTGAAATCGGTGCCAGGGTGATGATTAGTGATTACTTCAGCTTCAAAGTCGAGATTAAAGGCAGGGAGGAGAGAACAAGCCCACACAGCAGCAGGTGACGGCATCATGCATCAGAAAGGAGAAACTGAGGTCATAAAACACTATGAGACCTGACATGTTGGAGAAGATGGTACTGAGAACAAAGATGCATCATAAGTGTCACAGGCTTTCATTTCCTTTTTGCTGTACTTTGATAGTTAAACAGCAGCTATTTTATTTCATAACACACCATTCGGCTAAAATGCCTGTTTAAACTTCATACACATGTTTCTTCATTTTTTTACAACACCATTTACAAAGACATGTAAAAGAAAACATGTCAGCGAAGTAGCAGTACTTGTTGATTTGAAAAGACTTACGGGAGTGGCAGGTCTTTCCCTTCCATTTGTCCACACAGTTGCAGTTGAAGTCGTTGAGCAGATCCACACATTGGCCTCCGTTCTGACAGGGGTTCCTGTTGCACTCATTCACATCTGGAACAAAGTCGAGCAATGGGATTATTTTAGTCATTGATCGTATAATGATTGTGTCGGGATTACACAGAGCCTTCATGTCTTGAAGCATGAGATAAACCCGTTAAAAACTTGACAGTTATATTACTTTGGTTAGTTTTAACAAACAAATAGGTCTCATATAGACCACCTCTAAACATGAATGTACGTGATGGTGTCATCTGCAAACTGGCACACTTTCCAACTCCATTTCCACTGTATTTAGAATCATTCAGCTGGTTTAGTTACCACACTTTTCTGATTCCTTTCATGCCAAAAAACACTAGGTTGAATCGTCATCCATATTTTTCCCAGACTGCTGATTGTTCCTCTGCTGCTAGAGGCTAGTGAGGCATTTTCCCCAGAGTATTTGACTCACAGGCAGCATGACTTAACAAGGCTCTTTTCTAGCGTTCACATGCCTGTCCTGTTGCTAACCCCAAAAAACCCAGTTCTCACACTAACAGACACACACTCATACACACACTTACCAATATCACATAGATTACCCTCCCAGCCGTTTGGGCAAACACACTGGAAGGAGTTGATCCCATCGATGCAAGTGCCTCTGTTCTTACAGGGGGAGGACGCACAGTCGTTAATGTCTGCAAGCAGAGAAAGGACAGTTATTTACACATGTGAAATTATGAAAACAATTATTTGGCTAAGTTGTTGTATTTTTGAAAAGCATCAATCGAATTTTTGCATTTTGTTGGGTTTTGTCCTGCATTTTCTGTCATTTAAGGTTGCAGCGCGCTCAGCTTTTAATCATGCTGTTTAACTCAGCATATGTCTCAAATATATATAAATAAAATAACACCCACTACTAACAGCTTTTTGGAGAATAAGTGAAAATAGACGAGTTTGTTGTGTATCACAAACATACAAAAGCATTATGTAATGGAACCAACCGAAAACTGCAATGGAATCAGATGCTAAATTATTTCCCGGCCTTTTCCTGCATATGTTTTCCTCTTGATTTGCTTTGTGTGTATTGTTTATCTGTATAAAGTAAACTAAGAGTTATAATTACTGAAACCGGAGTAGGATATACCGTAATAATCATGTGGTGCCCTGTGATGGAAAGTGATGATAAATATAGTGTGTGTGTGTGTGTGTGTGTGTGTGTGTGTGTGTGTGTGTGTGTGTGTGTGTGTGTGTGTGTGTGTGTGTGTGTAGCTATTAATGACTCACTCTCGTGGCAGTAGGTGCCCGTGAAGCCCGGCTCACAGGAGCAGCTGAAGTTCCCGGCAGGCAGGCTGATGCAGCGTCCGTGGGGACCGCACACATTGGAGGAGATATGCCACACCCGCTTTTGGGTGTCATTTGTTGCCACAGCAACTGTGCAACTGTCAATCACTTGGGGTGAAAGAAAAGATATAAAAGTTCAGCAGGGCAAATAGTTTGTGCTTTATTAACACAAATATATTTAGAAACGATGGATAAAGGCTTTTCCAGGTGTATTACCTTGACAGCGGTTGGTCTTGCAGTGGTCCTTACGCTCTGAGCAGGTTTTGCCCTCGTAATCGTCGGGGCAGCTGCAGTAGAAATCTCCCACCAGACTGTGGCACTGAGCCTTATTGTGACAGCGGTTCGGGATGCAGGGGTCATTCTGCACCTACCGAGGGAAAACAGGAAGGTAGAGTTGTTGTCACAAACAAGGGAAAAATAGCTGTAAGCACAAAACAGTTTTTTCACTAGCTGCATCTAGTCCTCACCTCACAGGTTGCACCAGCGAAGCCCTGCGGGCATTCACACATGAAGCCGTCGATCAGGGCCTGGCAGCGCCCTCCGTTCTTACAGGGGCTGCTGGTACAGCGGCTCTGAACCTCACAGTGCCGACCCTCAAACCCCGTCTGGCAAACACACTGGTAGCCTCGGGGCACCATCTAAAAAACAAAAATAACATGAGAAGTTGACAAACACTGCTGCCAAATGTCACTCAGGTGCAGATAATTAAAAGTACACAGATTCAAATATTAGATATCATTCAAGAAATACGTTCTTGTTTGGTTGAAGCAACAGCAAATGTAAATCCACAAACATTCTTCCAGTTTAGAAATATGGGGATATTGGGAGCTATCACAGACAAAACAATTCTATTGATACATTTCTGCCCAGTTTCTACAATTTGACAAATGGCATTACAGAGTTGAAAATAAGCCCACTCACCTCAATGACTCAATTTGTCAATCATAACGATGCCAGTGTGATAATATGGCATTTTAAATCAAAACATCAATTAACTACTTTTTTTTAACACCGATTATCGATCAACATGTTCTTGCAATTCTTTAAAATCATCTTGTCAATTCCCTCATCTTATAAACCTATATTAAAAAAGGAAAATCCCTTTAAGGCATTGCAAGTCATATGGCACAATCTTTCAAAACCATTTTACCCTTGAGAATATGTTCAGGTTATTTGATGATCAATCTATAATCTTGTTCTTAATCCATTACTGCATTATGTTACATAACAAACTATATATAGCATAGTTCAACAAAGACCACAGTGTTTTTGAAAGCTATAAAAAACTCCACATTTGACATTTGTGAATCTCACCTTGCAGGTCCCTCCATTCTGACACTGACCATGGCAGCTGTTTGACTCTGAGAGGAAAACAAACAGAAAACTTCACGTTTGAGTTGGACAAATGGAAGGAGGAACATGCAATAGGTGCTGAAACATGCAGCTGCTACAGAAGAAGTAGCGGAAGATACAACCAAAGTGAGGTGATCCATGCCTGAGGAAATATCAGATGCAGGTAAAGAGTTGCAGCGAGAACATACATGCACTGCAGAAGTTAAAACTACCCCCTCACGATTTTCTCTAAAAGATCCATCAGGAAAAAGCAAACAGTTAAGTCTTATAGCTTGGAAGAGTAAAGCCAGGGTGTGGCAGGTATAAACAGACACCTTAGAGCAAAAGAAAGGAGAATTAATAGAGAGCTCATTTACTAACCCCATTGTAATGCACTAGCACTTCCCCATGGGGATGCATTAAAACATGTTTCTGTGGTTGATGAGAACTTAAAACTTCTAATTTAACAAGAAAAAGCTACGTTTTGCTAGCGTTCAACAATAATACATTCTGTGGGTTTTAACCATAAGCTTTATATCAAAATGCCATTACTATACTAGATCAGCATTCAACTACGAGTTAGGCTATGTTTTTGGTAGCCGTTGAAGAGCTATATATATATATATCATACAAGCAGTAATAAAACATTTGTTTTTGTCCACATTATGAGCCAATTTAGCTTTTTACTAATTATTAGATAATTTTGCTAGCATTGTTAGCAAAAGGCTATTAGCATTCTGTCAATGCATCATGAAACATGTTCAATTGAACTATGTTCAATGCTGACTGAATAAGAAAGTTATTTTGGTTAAATATATAGTGTTCAGCTTTTACTCTCTAGTATAACATGATATGCCTCTAAAACTACAACTATATACTACAAAACAAATCCACAAACATGATTGTTTTTCAGAGAGAATGAGAAGTGAGGAGAAGCTAGTGCTACAGAAGCTAGTGCTACAGAAGCTAGCCAGCCAAGAGAAGACTAGCCTCCTGCTAATGCGCTACAGGTAGGAGGAAAGAGGCTGAAGACGTATAATTATCTGGATAGATACTGACTGATTTCACAGTTCTTGCCAACCCATCCACGAAAGCAGCTACAGAGATATCCACCAATGAAGTTTTTGCAAGTGTAAGGACTGAGGCAAGGCTTCCCCGCACACTCATTAACGTCTGCAAAATGGAGATTAGAGACACAGAGAAAAGGAATCAGAGAGCTGAGAGCGTGCTCATAAACCCCGTCACCAAGCATAGCTCCATGTTGTAAAACACTAGAGGAGATTACAGGAGAAGAAGGTAGGTCTCTGAACTCTGACTTCAAACTGCTTTTTTTTAGGGGAAGCTTCTTTTGACGCCCCTCACAAACACCACATCTTTACTGTTGCTCAACCCTACTTGGAAAATTGTTGCTCATTTTTCATCAAGAATGAATCACTGTTTTTGAAATCATTGTTAGGACTTTCGACATACGATACAATGCAAAATAATACTTTGACAGGTGTGGTTTACAGAAATGTCACACATGTCCCCCTGTCTTGAAGTAATTCAAAAATAATGTTTTTATTTCCAGAACTGCTCAATGATTGTTTTGGAAAGAGCCTGCAATGCCTTTACGGTATTTTACTGAAACTATGCATTAGTATAATAACTTTCTTTGCAGCTCAATGAAAGCTTTCTCTTCTTCCTCCTCATGAGGAAAACAATAACCTTTAATGAAGTTACATTAAAAAAATAGCTGACATCAGAAGAACATATTTTCTTGTGCAGTAGAAATGATTATTATGCAATAGCTTTTACAGTTTAGAACCTTTTAAGTGTCTAATATGCACATTCGAGCCTGTGCGTGGTGTGGCCTGTCTGCTGTATCTCAGATTTATTTCATGACTTTTATAGGTACATTACCCGAGGTCTTTTTCATGTAAAATTGCCAGAACATTTACAGGGTGAACTCTATGTCTCACTGGGTTTCATGTCCAGCGCCCCACTGCTCTATCCTCACCCCTCCTTTGGGGTTAATGTCTCTCTATAGCATTCCCTGAAGGCCAACCTGCGGCATTCCAAGTGGTCAGTTTCAGAGGCAGCCATCGCCGCACCCGCCCTGCCGCCTCACTATAAACCGACTCAGTGCATTAATACTACTCCCAGGAGGTAAGCGGCACCTGTTGGCCGGCCTGAAACTAAACACCCCAACCCCTTCCCAAAAACCCAGCCTCGCCCGCTCCCACTGCCCCTCCTCCTCATCCCGCTCCCAGGTACCACCCTGTTCTCTGAAAGGGGAAGCACTCTACAGAACCTGTAACACAAACCAAAGCGTTTCTGTTGCTCCCTGCGTGTGTTTACAGGTTATGAAGTGTTTCCTGGGTGAGGTTTAGAGGGGTAAGGGCTCCACTATGTCGGGGAGTCGCCTCACCGTAGATACAACCCCGTCACGCCCAGTCTGGAGCCGAATATAACCCCCTCCCCCCCCCCCCCACTAGCATGTATTTTGTCCCAAGGCTAGCAGTTGCCAGGCTGGAAGTTATTTTTAGCTTTTCTCAAGTCACCTGGCTCGAGTTGCAGATGATACCCAGTGAGTGTGTCCGTTGGGCGTGCATATATACAAACACACACTCCCATTTGAAATTAGTGGCGCTCCTGCAGTAATACTACTGGTTAAACGACACAGCGGCATAAACAAACACCCAGGTATGCTGTAACTCTGCAAGCAAATGGGGCATTCGTTTTACGTGCAACACACACTGAACACATCGGCTTTATTAAAGCAAATGACATTAAGCAATGATCAGATGTACACTAACGAGTTGCTCAAAATATAAAAGGCTAATCTTATTATTCACTCAGTGAGACGTACCTATCTGGCAGGTCTTGCCCGTCCACTGTTGAGGACAGAGGCATTCGAAGCCGTTCTCCATGTCCACGCAGGTCCCACCCTGAGCACAGGGGCTGGAGGCACATTCGTCCGTGTCTGAAATATAAACCAGACTCATGTTGAAGCCAATTATCATTTACAAAAGTCACACACCAGCTACCACTGGTGATATTGATTTATGTTTGCATACTCATCAGATAGTTCTTAAAATCAGACCACTGGGATGGTGAAACACTGCAAGTCGCTGCTAAGTTAGCCTGTTTAGTTCCTCTCCTAACTTTATAAATCCATCATAAAACCACTAAAAGATAAAGGCTTTACCCTACACCCTGCCAGGGATTTAAATCTGGTGGAAAAATACAAATCCCATTATTTAAAATGAATGTACCAATATGTTTTGACTTAAAAACTTCTTATTTAAAAGCTGTTAGTCAATACCTTTATATATGCCCTAATATCAGACAGGAAATTGAAGCCCCAAATTCAAAGAAATACGTTTTGATCACCTCAATAATGTCCAAAATTGTAGCTTAGACTCTTGAGTTTGAATCCCAAACACAAAGAATATTAAGATCAAAAACCAGATCAAGCAGTGAAGTAAACAGATGTTGTAGAACTTGTTGTGTGCAACCGAACAGACCACATCTTATTTTGTATTGCCCCCTCACCTTTAGCACAGGTGGGCCCGGACCATCCTGCTGGACAGTGACACTCAAAGCCTGATGGGACTTCATGGCACGTTCCTCCGTTAGCACAGGGGTTGGAAACACAGGCATGCTCCGCTACAGAGAAAAAGTTAAGAACAAATTAGCAATGCTTGTAAATCTTCAATTGGATATATCTAACGTTGCCTTGGACGTGACATGGCAAAAAAACTTGGATTTTGAAGCTGGTTAATTTGATTCATAGTCTCACCAATCTCGCAGTTTTTGCCAGAGTAGCTGTCGGGACAGGCGCAATTATACTCATCGGGCTCTGTGTTCATACACGTCCCTCCGTTCTTACAGGGCCGGTTGGTCCCACAGTAGTTCAGATCTAGAGGAAAAAAAACACTTAATTTACCCTCCTGTGTTTTTCTATGTGAAGCACTCGGGTAACAAATAATAGGCAACTTGACAAAGGGAGAATTAGGGCAGGAGGTATCTGACAGCTAAGGAAATGTATAAAAAAAAACAATCTAAATATAGTTTAAATGTTGCACATGTCATCATTCTGCAGCTCTGTGCTCTTTAACACAATAACTTGTTCTTTCAGGCTACATTTCACTTTTTTTCTTCCAGAACATCTGATTGTGGGGTTACAAGGAACACAATGTAAGAACATATTTACAGGAAAACATAATTTCTACTTCTGCATCTTGACCAATCACACGGTTACCTCATGCCACTTACGGCATGTGGCGTAAAACAGCGCTGTGCAGGTTTAGCCCATTTACTGGAAATTAAAAATACTGCACAATAGCTCTGAGTTTATGAGTTTGGAAATCATACTGTAGTGTTTCAATGTACTATTTGGAAGTTGCATGAGTTTTGAAATCTATCACAGTGAGTATGAAGCATGCATTCATTTAGTTATTGTTTAGGGATAACATCTTGAACATGTTTTACATCAAACCAATGCAAATGGAAAATAATGGAAACCAATGTCCGTCTGAAAAGTTCAAAAACAATTGAATACGATCTAAATTTCTTCAGCATGCTTTGGAAAACCTAAGATATAAATTATGAAACATTCAGAGTTAGCGTATAAAACACTAGAAAAGTATTTTAAATCTACAAACCAAATCAATTTGATACCATAATGAACTCCATCAATTATCCAATTGACCTGCAGAGGCCTTTTAGATCATAAGTGAAACCTCCTTGATAATCCAAAGCAAGTTGCCTCTGACTCGGCACTTATCCAAAAGATAGATATACGTAGTTATTGTGCGGCTGAATAATACCTTTGTCGCAGAGCAGACCCCCCCAGTTCTTCTCGCAGGTGCACTGCCAGGGCTCGTTGCAGGTCCCGTGCACACAGCCGGGGTAGGGCAGGCACTCGTCACACAGCGGACCCTGCCAGCCGTAGTTACACCTGAACACAGCGTGGAGGAGGGTTAGTGAGATATAATGTGCACCTGAGAGGAATCCCTGCAGTTTAATGTACTTCTTCTAGCTTTCATTCTTTCCTTCCCACTATTAGCACTTTTTCCTACATTCCTTTCACACTTTCTTGAAGACATCTGAAACCACAAACTAGGGAAAGTTCCCTGCGAGGAAAGAAACTAAACTTTCTTCTTCTTCTCCTTGAAACAAAGTATTGGTCACTGAAATACTTGAATGTTGTGACAGCATTGATAGCCGTAAAATCAGTGGATAGAGTTCAGCGGGTGCACCAGTGGAGTGAGAGTGTGTTCCTATTAAAGCTCCAGCCAGACAGAGGGGATATCAGGCACTAACATGCACTTAATAACACAGGGGGTGTTGTTCATGAAAAACAATGATAGTTACGTTGCAATAACAAACAAGTCATTTAATACGTTTACGTGAGCAGCGCATGGTGCCGGGCAGCGTGCCAGTTTAACGTCCCCTGGTAAACATGAGGAATGCTGGAGATGCCAGGGAAAAAGGGAAATTCTTTCAAGTCATGTAGAAAGCGGAAGGCGATTAGATGAAGGAAACATGTTTAGTAGAAAAGTCCAGAATAAAACAGGAGGGTTGACTTGGCAGCTAAATGTCACCGCAGTGATTGTTCGGACAGCACGTCTTCATCAAGGTGAATGACATGTTTGCTGCGGCTCCTAATCTTAGGACACGCAGCGCCAGGGACATTCCTGAGTGTGTGTGTGTGTGTGTGTGTGTGTGTGTGTGTGTGTGTGTGTGTGTGTGTGTGTGTGTGTGTGTGACAGCTTTACAACAGGAAGCAGAACAATGGCTTCTGAATCAGAGTGGAGCTGAGGGATGGAGGTGTAGGGACGGGGTGGGGACGGCACTTCATACAACTTGGATGGGGGAGGTAGGGGGTGAGGCTGCTTGCTATGTTATCAACAACAGACCCCCCCCCCACCCCTGTTCCTCATCATCCCCACTGTTCTCCTCATTAAACTCTTCCCATCCAAACAAAAGCATGTTCGATATCACTCAACAACAAGTGGAACAAAGGTGAACTAAGTGGAATAAAAAAACAAATAAACAATTACAAATGACTCACTTGCATTCCCCCGGCACGCTGCATGTCCCGTGTTCGAGGCTGCATCCCTGTTTGCAGATGGCTTTTGGAAAAGGAAACAGAAAGTGACAAGTTAGTGTTAGTTTCAAATCAGATAATTTCCATCAGCATTCTTTACACCATCACTTCAAATGATTTCAATGGAAGTCTTTGCACGGCTGGCACTTTGTTTTGCAGGTGCTCAAATCATTACAATCTAATTTCCTGTGTTTTTTCTTGTTTGTGAAATGCAAGAGAATCTCTGCAGCGTTAACAATGGATGGCAGAGGCAATGTCGGAAAATTGAAGGTCTCTACATCGCTGACGAGAGTTTCCTAACATTCTTTGAATTCTTACAAAGTGACACTTGACATGAACATCAGTGGACTTCCAAGTGTTTTTACGAAAAAGGGCAGTGAGGAGGTAGAGACTACGAAAGCTTCGTCCATGTGATCACAAACTTCCCTTTTAACGTACAGGAAAAACAAGACCAGGTACTTAAGGAATGCAAATATCTGATCAGATTTCAAATGCTATAGGAGTACAAGCACAATAAAGTTTTATCATTTATTGTTTTCCTTCTTCATTTGATAAAATCTGTTGTTAAATGTACCATATTTCTGTATTTATTGATTATGTTTGTGTTGAAAAAATTAAATCAATGTCAATGTCCAAAATTGTGATTCCCATTAATAATGTTGGTTTAAAAGAAATTGAAAAGATTTGCTAAAAATATATATAAATAAATAATATAAATAATACATTTAATCTGATTTCTGGCAGGAAATGAAAACATAAAAAAAAAAAATCACCAACTTACTAGAGGTTGGGCTTTATGTATACTTTCATACTCTTGATTTAATAATAAGGCTTTGATAATTGCTTACAGCTCTACTAAATAGTAACAAATCTCTTATAATTCAATATAAATCAGTTCTAATTAAATCCCATCCCCCTGTATCCTGTGTTCTGCTGCAGACCCTCCTTGTACCTGTCTCGCATTCAGGCCATATCCAGCCCTCCATGCAGCCTCTGTTCCCCAGCTGGTCGCACACGTAATGCCCGAAGTAGTCGTCACGGGGACGGCAGACTTTGTTGCACTTGATGCCGTAGTAGTTTTCATCGCAGCGGACCCGGATGGTGTACTCGAGGCTGGTGAAGGAGCTCTTATACTCTACCACCTGCTTCTCGTCGCCGGGGTTTATCATCCCTTTGTGGATGCTGCGCTCAATCAGAAGCTCCTCATCTGGAAACAAGACAAACAAATCAGTGTTAGAGCAGAAAACAGTTGTTTTACTAAAAGGGGCTTAGTATTAGTCTGGCTTTGATGTAGTGTTTTATAATTATATGGTTTTATTATTTATGTCACTGTAATGTATGGATACAGTTGAACAATTTAAATTGTTACATTTATTTTATTTTTAACTTTTTACAACTTGTTAGCATGGTAGTTTTGTCAAAAGCATTTTGAAGTGCATTTAATTTGCTAGAATGTTTTGTATAAATAAAGTTTTGCTTGAAATTGAATAACAAACTATTTTTTGTAGTATTCGGTCTCTTATTTTCATTATCATCTTTACCATTTATCTCAATGTAATTTTTTTAACTTTTGAGCATTATGACTTGTTTCATGTTATTTTTTAACATTTTACTACTTGTATCGTCCTATTTTTTGTCAGTTGCTTGTAAAGCACTTTGAAGTGTATTTGATTTGCTCGAAAGCTGCTCTATAAATCATGGTTAACTTGATTGACTGAATACATTAAAAACACTCAACAGGTCAAGTATTTGTGTCGGTTTGATAGCATGGTCTAAAAACAACATAAATTCTGAATGACATTCCAAGAAGCAGCGCTGATTCCAGTAATGGGATTTGACCCAACAACCCGGTGTTTAGTGATATAAGACGATCCAAGAATAATGGCTGTTGTGAGCACAGATCAGAAGGAAGGACTCAAATCAGTCAAACATCACTCTGTTGCACCAAATATGTTGCAAAAGAAAGAAGGAGGAGAAAATAGGAGAATAAAGCGGGCTCAAACCGAGGGTGTAGCGAGGTATGCAAGAACTTGATAACCGAAAATGCTTTTCTGCCCACCCCCACTCTCAGGATATCCACCCCCGACTCCATTGGAGACAGGCCGGAAATAATAAGAGAAGTGGAGCAGACGAGGAAGGGCGACATAGGAAAGGCCCTTTAGCTTGTTCTCAAGGAACAGGATAAGTGTGACCCAGCATGCTTTGCTGCTGTCGCTAACAGAGTGGAGTATGACCTGGAAGAGACAGAGCGGGAAGGAAGAGCTCATCGTACCAACTCAGCTCTGTCTTCAGTGGGAGGAGCTAAGTGGAACACTGCTAGTAAATGTCTTAAAGGGGCCCTATTGTGCTTTTTGTTATATAGGTTTTTTTGCATGTAAATTGTCGGCCTGAAACCCCTCTATTGCACTACTTGCTTTACTTTTGGAACATAATGACATCACTATGTTAACACTCGCGCGTCTATTGGCTAGCGCTCCAACACATTGTACGTAATAGGCTGAGGGGCGGGACATCTCCTAGTGCAGGGGTCGGCAACCCGCGGCCCACGGGCCGCATGCGGCCCTTTAAGCCCTCTGCTCTGGCTCCCTTGAGCTTAGACAAAAATAAGAAGGAAATAAAATAAAAGTATTTGTAGGACTATTTATATTTTGTTGCACGGTTGAAAATGTTTCGTATCTTGTATTTTGAGGTGATACTGTGACACATAAATAAAAAACAAAACGGTTTTAATTAGGTCAACTAAAATATGCGTCACATCCTGCTACGGTCCCGCGCGACCTTTTCTTGGAGGCACTCGCGCGGGGACCCCCGGCTCGATGAGCGAACTATGGATAAATCAAAGAAAAGTGCCGGAGGAACACAGGATTTAATTCTGTGTGGACAGAGTTATCTGCTTTCACAGCAAACGATGCTGGTTTACCGGTATGTTTGATATGTGGAGAGAAGTTGTCAAAGGTGCTGCAGCCTTTACGTATCGAGGAACAACACGTTCTTCAGTCATAATTCAATGGGGTATGCAATTTATTTCAGAAAACACTTTTTGTTATATTCCATGGAATGCTCTTAACGTCCCGATAGCAATGATTATATTAAATGCTTTGACAATAAATACATACAAAAATTCATCTCTGGAAGCCGTAGCGCTGTAAAAAGCACCGACCCGGCTAAAATAACTGGATGGCCTACCTGCCTGTCAGCCTTCCATCTCTGTTCCATCTGTGCACAAACTTATCTCGTGGCCTCATTGATGATGCACGTTCGTATGTGTTGGAGGAGGGACTCTGTAAGAAAGTCTGAAGGAAGAGGCCTATTTTTTCCGGTTGTGTATTTTCAAATTCTAGCGCACTCGAGCTGGTTTCTCCATTCTTACCTACCCTACCTTTAACTCTTTTTAGGGTGCAGCTATATGTTTTATTTATTTCAAAGTGGGCCCATTTTAATAATATTTTTTTTTCCTTCAAATGTGCAGAGGACTCCCCAAGTGCTGTGTT